CTTGCTCAGGCTGGTTTTGAACTCCTGAGCTCAAACAATCCGCCCGCCTCGGCCTCCCAGAGAGCTAGGATTACAGGCGTGAGCCACCACGCCCGGCCCTGTCATGTACTCTTGACTGAAAATTTGGGAGAATTCATTTAACCAGCACCGAAAAGACATAGCCTTTTCCCATCCATTTGCTCATATCTGGCTATTTTATTGCTCTAATTCTGGTTAGCAGTTTACCCTTTTTGGCTTTGAAAGATATGAGATTATAATAAATATCATTTAAGAAAGAAAAAGATACAGGAAATGGAGGCAACGATAAGCTAATGAGACCAAATGAAGTGGACACAAGCTATGGAAAGCTTGAACAGGAATGATCTTTTATTCCTCCCTTATGCTCCCTACTCTTCTAATCCAGCTTTAGAGGAAAAATAACCTGAATTTACATAGCATTTTATAGTTCACAAAACTCTTTTATATGCAGTATCTAATTTTGTCCTAAAACAACCACATGAGACAGATTGGGTAGTTTTTATTTTTTTCATTTTACAGATGAAGAAACTTAGGCTCATAGTGGTTGAGTGAGTGCCTCAGAGCCATACTAATAAAGACAGAAGGTAGAATCAAAGTTGGGGCACTTTCTGCTATACCACATGGTCCCTGAAGTTAATGATGTTATGTGCCAGTTTGGTTTTTTTAATGACAGCTTCATTGAGATATACATCACATACCATAAAATTTACTCTGTTAAAGTGTACAATACAGTGGCTTTTAGTATATTTACAGTTGTGCAACCAGTCACTACTATCTAATTCTAGAACATTTTTATCACCCCAAAAAGAAACCCCACACCCATTAGCAGTCCTCCTTATTCCTTGCTATCCCCAAGTCCCAAACCCTAATCTTTCTGACTCTGGATTTTCCTATTCTGGACATTTCATGTAAGTACAGTTATGAAATATGTGACCTTTTGTGACAGGCCGCTTTCACGTAACATGTTTTCAAGGTTCATCGATGTTGTAGCATGTGTCACTAGGACATCATTCCTTTTCATGACTGAATAATGCATTGTATAGATATATGCTCCGTTTTGTTTATC